AACCTGCATCCAGCAAGTTTATCAGCACAATTTTCCCACAGCCTGTGTTCACTTCATATCTCTGTCACGTTTTGGTAATTCTCACAATATTTCAAACTCTTTCATTACTATTACTTGTTATGATAATCTGTGATCAGTGATCTTTGATGTTACTAGTGTAATTGTTTTAGAGCACCACAAGCCCAGCTCCTATAAGACAGCAAACGTAATTGGTAAATGTTTTGTGTAGTCTGACTGCTCCACCTACCAGCTGTTCGCCTGTCTTCCTTCCTCTCCGAGGGCCTCCATATTCCCTGAGACAGAACTGTATTGAAATTCGGCCAGTTAACACTGTAGTGGCCTCTAAGTGTTCAAGTGAAAGGAAGAGTTGCACATCTCTCCCTTTAAATCAGAAGCTAGAAATAATAAAGCTTAGTCATTAAGTGTTGAAAGCTGGGGTAGATCAAAAGCTGGGCCTCTTAAAGCACTTAACCAAGTTGTGAATACAGAGGAAAAGTTCTTGAAGGAAATTAAAAGACTTATTCCGGGAAACACAAATGTTAAGAAAGTGAAACAGCTTTATTGCCAGTATTGAGAAAGGGTGAGTGGTCTAGATAGAAGATGAAACCACCCTTAACATTCCCTTAAGCCAAAGTCTAATCTGGAGCAAAATCCTTAGTCTCTTCAATTCTATGAAGACTGAAGACTGAGAGAGGTGAGGAAGCTGCAGAAGAAAAGTTGGAAGCTACAAGGTCCGTTGGTTTATGAGGTTTAAGGAAAGACGCTATCTCCAGAACATTGAAGTGCAAGGTGAAGCAGCAAGTGCCGATGTGAAAGCTTTAGCAAGTTATTCAGAAGAGCTAAGATCATTGATAAAGGTGGCTATGCTAAACATAGATTTTTTTTTTCTTTCTTTCTTTTTAAGACAAAGTCTTTGTCTCTGTTGCTCATGCTGGAGTGCAGTGGCACGATCTTCGCTCACTGCAATTTCTGCCTCCCAGGTTCAGGTGATTCTTTTGCCTCAGCCTCCCTACTAGCTGGGACTGCAGGTGTGTGCCACAATACCCAGCTGATTTCTTTTCTGTTTGTTTGTTTGTTTGTTTTTGAGATGGAGTTTCACGCTTGTCACCCAGGCTGGAGTGCAATGGCACGATCTTTGCTCACTGCAGCTTCCGCTTCCTGGATTCAAGTGATTCTCCTGCCTCAGCTTCCCCATTAGCTGAGATTACAGGTGCGTGCCACCATGCCCAGTTAATTTTATATTTTAGTAGAAACGGGGTTTCACCATGTTGGCCAGGCTGGTCACAAACTCCTGACCTCAGGTAATCCACCTGCCTTGGCCTTCCAAAGTGCTGGGATTACAGGCATGAGTCATCACACCCGGCCTAATTTTTATATTTTTAGTGGAGACGGGGTTTCACCATGTTGGCCAGGCTGGTCTCGAACTTCTTACCTCAAGTGATCCATCCGACACAGCTTACCAAAGTGCTGAGATTACAGGCATGAGCCACCGTGCTTGGCCAGATTTTCACTATAGACAAAGATGCCATCTAGGACTTTACTAGCTAGAGAGGAGAAGTCAATGTCTGGCGCCAAATGACAGGCTGACTCTCCTGTTAGGGCCTAATGCAGAAGGTGACTTCAAGTTGAACCAATGCTCATTGACCACTTTGAAAATGTCAGGGCTTTTAAAATGCTAAATCTCTGCTTATACTCCGTAAATGGAACCACAAAGCCTGGGTGACAGCCCATCTGTTTACAGCATGGTTTACTGAGTATTTTAGCCCACTGTTGAGACCTACTGCTCAGAAAAAGATTCTTTTGAAAATATGACTGCTTATTGACAACGTGGCTGGTCACCCAAGAGCTCTGATGGCAATGCATAAGAAGGTTAATGTTCTCATGCCTGCTAAAGCAACATCCATTCTGCAGTCCGTGAATCGAGTGATTTCTCCTTTCATCTCTTATTTGAGAAATTCCTTCCATGAGGCTGTAACTCCCATAGATACTAATTCTTTTGATGGAACTAGGCACAGTAAATTGAAAACTTTCTGGAAAGGAATCACTATTATCTCTTTCATTTATTACTGTTGTTGTTATTTTGGAGAGATGGGTCTCACTATGTTGCCCAGGCTTGTCTCAAACTCAGGGGCTCAAGCAGTCCTCCTACCTTGGCCTCCCAAAGTGCTGGGATGACAGGTGTGAGCCACCAGACCCAGCCATTCGCTAGAATCTCTAAAGGGTATCTAGAAACCTCCTTTTCCGATCCTTGACTCCCAGATTAAGAGCCTTTCTCACTCAGAAGTCTTTGCTTTGTCCCTTTTTCTTTCCGTCTCAGAGAAAGAAGACCCACTTCCTTTTCAAAGCAGATCCCTTGTGCTACTTTGTTTTGTTTTGTTCTGTTTTGAGATAAAGTCTGGCTCTGTCACTCAGGCTGGAGTGCAGTTGTGCAGCCTCCGCCTCCTGGGTTCAAGCAGTTCTCCTGCCTCAGCCTTCCGGGTAGCTGGGATTACAGGCACATGCCACGATGTGCCCAACTAATTTTTGTATTTTTAGTTAAGATGGGGTTTTGCCATGTTGACCAGGCTGGTCTTGAACTTGCGGCCTCAAGTGATCTGCCTGCCTTGGCCTCCCAAAGTGCTGGGATTACAGGCATGCATCACCGCAAGCCTCTGCCCTCTTTTGCTACTTTGCATGCTAATCCCATTTCCTCAAAAACCTTATCAGTCACTAAGTATGTATTTACTCTCTTAGGTTTTTTCTCCCTAGGATCTCTTTATTGAAACAACTCACTCAAAGATCACCATTTTTGAAAGCAGTGACTTATTTTTTAATCTTCATTCTCACCACTGTTTTACAGCATGAGACACTGGTAACTACTTCCTTGTTGAAATGTGGTCCTTCCTCAGTTGTAAATCTCAGTTATAAGCACTTCCTTGGTTCTTGATGAGCATTTCCTACTCAGTTTTCACTGTAAGACTGTACCCCCAGCAGTTTGGGAGGCCAAGGCAGGCAGATCATGAGGCCAGGAGTTCAAAACCAGCCTGGCCAATATGGTGAAACCCCATCTCTACTGAAAATACAATAATGAGCCAGGTGTGGTGGTGCTTGCCTGTAGTCTCAGCTACATGGGAGGCTGAAGCAGGAGAATTGCTTGAGCCTGGCAGACAAGGGTTACAGTGAGTGGAGATTGTGCCCCTGCTCTCCAGCCTGTGTGGTAGAGCAAGATTCTGTCTCAATTTAAAAAAAAAAAAAAAAAAAAAAGGCCCGGCATGGTGGCTCACGCCTGTAATCCCAGCACTTTAGGAGGCCGAGGCTGGTGGATCATGAGGTCGAGCGATCAAGACCATCCTGGTCAACATGGTGAAACCCCGTCTCTACTAAAAATACAAAAAATTAGCTGGGCGTGGTGGCGCGTGCCTGTAATCCCAGCTACTCAGGAGGCTGAGGCAGGAGAATTGCCTGAACCCAGGAGGCGGAGGTTGTGGTGAGCCGAGATCGCGCCATTGCACTCCAGCCTGGGTAACGAGCAAAACTCCGTCTCAAAAAAAAAAAAAAAGATAGAATTTTATGTTATGTATAAAATTGTTACCATAAAATGTTTAATTTTATTTTGAGTATTATATGAAGTTGTCAGAGGTTTTATTGTTATTGTAATGATAACAATATTACCGCAATAACAATAAAACCTCTGACAACTTCATATAATACTCAAAATAAAATTAAACATTTTAAAGTCCTTTGGCCAGGCATGGTGGCTCATGCCTGTAATCCCAGCACTTTGGGCGGCCAAGGCAAGTGGATCACCTGAGGTCAGGAGATCAAAACCATCTTGGCCAACATGGTGAAACCCAATCTCTAAAAATACAAAAAATAATTAGCCGGGCATGGTGGCAGGCGCCTGTAATCCCAGGTACTTGGGAGGCTGAGACAGGAAAACTGCTTGGACCCAGGAGATGGAGGTTGCAATGAGCCGAGATCATGCCGTTGCACTCCAATCTGGGCAACAAGAGCGAAACGCCATCTCAAAAACAAAATTTTTTTAATTAAAAAAAAATAGCCGGACGCAGAGGCTCAAGCCTGTAATCCCAGCACTTTGGGAGGCCGAGGTGGGTGGATCACGAGATCAAGAGATCGAGACCATCCTGGTCAACATGGTGAAACCCCGTCTCTACTAAAAATACAAAAATGAGCTGGGCATGGTGGCGCGTGCCTGTGATCCCAGCTACTCAGGAGGCTGAGGCAGGAGAATTGCCTGAACTCAGGAGGCGGACGTTGCGATGAACTGAGATCGCACCATTGCACTCCAACCTGGGTAGCAAGAGTGAAACTCCGTCTCAAAAAAAAAAAAATAATAATAATAAATAAATAAAATAAAGGCCCAGTACAGTCTGCTCGCTTTTGAATCATATAGTTAACATTTAACCCACATTCATCTCTCCAAACATCCCTGCATCTCTGCCTCAAACCTTTTGCTCAAAATATATAGTGTGCCTCTGTTTTCCTTTAAGATTTAGCTCGAGAGCTACTTCCATAAAACTTCTCAAGATATAGCCCATTCAAATTCATTTTTTTTCCCTCATGTCTATTAGTAATTTGGACCTCGCTTAGAGCGGTTAGTACATTTACCCTGTGGTATAGTCATTTGCCTGCATATGTGTCTTTTAGATTACAAGATTCCATTTAATGTAGTTGACACTCAATAAATGTTGACGGAATTGAATCTAATTAAACTCTCTCATTTGATCGGTGGGGAAATTGGAATCCAGAGGAGACACACAGTGACAGAGCCAGGACTAGTTTCAGGGTCTTGTGTCTGCTATTTCAACAAGTTTCTGTCTCCACTAGCATGCTGACATGCATCCATGGATGCTCAACTGCTGTTGTTGGGCAGTTCAGTATTGTACTGCAGAACAAACACCAGATCCCATCGATGAGTCTTTCATCCATATAAAAAAGCACGTGTTATTTGAAATCTTTGTGCGTATGAAGATTCTGATGTATTTTTATTCTGTTTTCAGCTTCATGTTTCCTGTTGCAGGTGGGATAAGACCCCCTCAAGGTATGTGAAGGCTTAAGTTTCAAATGTTTATTTTTCAGTCTTGTGTTTCTGAATCTGGGAATTAAATAAGTAAATAGAAAACAAGTTCTGTTGCTGCTAAGTAGAGTAAAATTTTGTATGCTCTTAAACCTATATGGCAGCTACTCTTAAAATTTCTCAAAAACTGTATTATTTGGGTAGTAATAAGGATCACTCTTCATTTCTCCAAAACGTATGTAAACATTATGCTCATAGATTGTTTAACCTCAGGTGAAAGAGACTTTTGAGACAAGAATGTTAAAGAATAGGTGATAAAAATGAAATGAGCTGTAATTTACTTGATGTCTTTCTCTTAGATTGTTAGTGCCATGTGTGTCTAATGCTCATCTCTAGCACCCACTATGCTGATTTAACATAATACATTCTCTGTAGATGTTTGTTGAATGAATAAACAAACATCTTTAGTTGTTTCACACTGGTATTTTTTCTCTATTTGATAGTATCTTATTACAATCATGTATTATAAACATATAATTTTGAAATGAAAAGATCACATACTCTGATTCAGCTTAAGTTTCAGGATTTTGTTTGGGTTTGGGTTTTTATTTTTATTTTTATTTTTTTTGAGATTGAGGTCTTGCTCTGTCACCCAGGCTGGATGGAGTACGCTGGCGCAGTCAAGCTCACTGCAGCCTCGGCCTCCTAGGCTCAAGCAATTCTCCCACCTTAGCTTCCCAGGTAGCTGGGACCACAGGTGCATACCACCACCCCTGGCTGATTTTTTTAAAATATTTTGTAGAGATAGGGTCTCCTTATATTGCCCAGGATGGTATCAAATTCCTGGGCTCAAATGATCCCTTCTGCCTTGGCCTCCCAAAGCACTGAGATTACAGGCATAAGCCACCGTATCTGGCCAAGTCTTTGTTTTATTCCTAGAAATGTCTCTACTAAGTATACCTCTTCTCTCTTGGTCTCAGACCAGGGCCCACCAATATCAATTCTAGCTTTATCTTCAAGGAAATAGTAATGAAGGAATATGATCTTGACCTATGCTGCCATGCACCTGGGACACAACAGTGAAGAAGGACTATATCTGCCTTTCTCTTGATTCTTTCTGCTCATTTCTCCCACTCTGATATATTCTCTCTCCCCTCACACCAAGTGCTTCTGAAAACTGGTCTTCTTAAAAAGTCAGCGTTGATTGGTTATCATAGATTTGCTGGAGAAACAGAGACTCCTGGGTCACCAGTAGAGATAAAACATAAAGAGCAGCTCAGTAGCAGGCGGTCAGTGGCTCATCCTGGCTTTGTCTTTATTTATAATCAGTGGTGGTGGTTGAGTTTCAGGTAAGTTTTTCCAAGGGTCAGTTGTATAGTTTTCATCGTGTTCATGTTTCTGCATTATTTAAGCTATCTGTAGTTAGATGTGTCCCAGATTGAGATCAAATGGTTTGAGATCTTTTGTTCTTTAGGAAGGTATTACAAAGTTATATGTTCATTACTGTGGTTTGATATTTTGCATTTCTATAAACTTTCAAGTAAAAATCTGCATATGGAGTGAAGGAACTGGACAAGAAGAGATCCCAGAATGTTGCCTGATATTTCTTCTTAGGGAATTTGGAATTGGTTTGGAGATTTTTTTTTTTTTTTTGAGACGGAGTTTCGCTCTTGTTACCCAGGCTGGAGTGCAATGGCGCGATCTCGGCTCACCGCAACCTCCGCCTCCTGGGTTCAGGCAATTCTCCTGCCTCAGCCTCCTGAGTAGCTGGGATTACAGGCATGCGCCACCATGCCCAGCTAGTTTTTCGTATTTTTAGTAGAGACGGGGTTTCACCATGTTGACCAGGATGGTCTCGATCTCTCGACCTCGTGATCCACCCGCCTCGGCCTCCCAAAGTGCTGGGATTACAGGCTTGAGCCACCGCGCCCGGCCTGGAGATTTTTTTTTTTTTTTAACACTTTGTTAGAATGGACTTTTTGGTCATTTGAAGGCTTTAAATTATGCATGTATCATTTCTGAGAACATATACAAGAAACCAGTAGCAAGGATGGCCACAAGATCATGAGTACTTGAACAGGAGACGGAGGACAGAAGGAGACCTATTTTTTACTGTGTACACTTTTATGCCTTGAAATATTATGCCAGGTATCTGAATTACCCATTCAGCAATAAAATAAAATCAATTAAAATGAATAAAACTTTAAGTCCAAAGACTGAAAACATCTTACTGTGGCTATTTTCAATCTGTGTATTCTAATTCTCCGTGACACCTTGTGATCTTTGTACTTAGTGTTCTTTGGTCTGGAATATTCTTCCCAAATATTGGCATGGCTGGTTTTAAAAACAGAAAAAAAGAAAAAAAATCAAAATCATAATATACATATATATATATATATATTGGCATGGCTTGGTTCTTTATTTCCTTGAGGTCCTTGCTGAAATGCCACCCTGGTGAAACTTTTTCTAATTGCCCTATGTAAAATAGCAACCACTCCATTCCCCCTTGCCCTGCTTTATTTTTTGCCCTAGCTCTTATCACCACCTGACATGTACTTATTTTTTTTATTATCTGTCTGTCCTGATTACACTGTAAGGTCCATGAGAGTGAAGACCTAGTTTTGTTCATGGCTGTGTCCCTAGAACAGTGCCTAATATAGAGTAGGCCTCAAATACTTGAATAAGTGAATGGCCTACCTGTAATAACTGTTACCGACAAATGTGAATGTTTGTGCTTCTGAAATTAGGCTGGGTTATTATAAATAACCTGGAAGGTACCCAAAAACCATAAGATAAACATGGTATAATTTCCTAGATCTTTAATTTTTTTAAGTTGACAGTTTGATATAAAGCTGCTTTCTTAGTGGTAGAACCAACGTGAATGTTGTTTGAATGCAAAATTAGAATGAAATTTGTGCTCAGGCTACGTAGGGATTTTGTTTTATTCACTTCTGTGTACCAAGCACATAGTGTGCCTAGCATACGGTAAGCATTTAGTATGTATCAAAATCCCAAAGGGATGTATATTCATTTACCTCTGCTCTCGGAAAAGTTTGGGCAACACTAGCCTAAATCATACTTTCATGATAGTTTTCTGCTTTGGCTATTTTGTGGTAATTGTTATGGTACCTATTCATGTAATGAAAAGGAAGAATAACATTTATTTAAACATAGTAAGTATTAAACAATTTTACAAATGAGAAACGAAGGCATAGAAAGAAGTAAATTGCCCAAGGTTCCAAAGTAGTATGTGGCATTTCTAGTTGGCGCCCAGAGTTCATGCCTTTAACTGTTATTTTGTTAGTTATCTGCTGCTGTGTAACAAATGATCCCGAACTTTAAAAAGTAAGCATTTTATTATTTCATAGTGTGTCTATGGGTCAGGAACCTAGGAATAGCTCTGCTGGGTGGTTCAGGCTCAAGACCTCTTATAAGATTGCAGTAAAGATGTCAGCCAGGATTGCAGTCATCTGAGTTTCATGGAGCAGCTTCCAAGGTAGCTGATTGACATAAATGGCAAATTCATGCTGCCTTTTGGCAGAAGACCTCAGTACCTCACCACGTGGATTCCCCATAGGTCTTACTGAGTATTCTCATAACATCCAAGTGGCTTGCACCAGAGCAAGTGATCAAAAAGAACAAGGAGGAAACTACAGTGTCTTTTAAGAACTAGCCTTTGGGCCAGGTGTGGTGGCTAATACCTGTAATCCTAGCACTTTGGGAGGCTGAGGGGGGCGGATCACTTGAGGTCAGGAGTTAAAGACCAGCTTGGCCAAAATGGCGAAACCCCATCTCTACTAAAAATGTAAAAATTAGCTGGGTGGGCGTGGTGGCAGGTGCCTGTAGTTCCAGTGACTTGGCAGCCTGAGGCAGGAGAATCGCTTGAACCCGGGAGGCAGAGGTTGCAGTGAGCCAAGATCATGCCACTACCCTCCAGCCTGGGTGACAGAGTGAGATTCTGGGTTAAAAAAAAAAATAATAACTAAACTTTTTAAGTTACATGCTGTCATTTCCACGGTATCCTATTGGTTATACTGGGCAGCCCTATTCAGAATGGAATGGGGCAACACAAGGGTATGAATACCCCAAATAGGCCGTACTGTTAGTTTTTTAATATGCGTACAAATTCCGTACGAGAGTTATAATCTTCATTTTACAGATAAAGTTTTGGAACTTGTTCAAGATCACACAGCTAAGTAAATGATAGAGTTGGAATTCATCTTTACATCTGTCTCACTCAGAACCCTGTGCTTTTTCCATTACACTCTGCTTCCTGCCAAGTAAAGTAACAAGTCCTTTAGGTACTTAGGGTTTTAAGAAAATAAACTTTAAAACACACTGACTTTAATAATGCTTTACATTTTCAGCAGGCCTGATGCCGATGCAGCAACAAGGATTTCCTATGGTCTCTGTCATGCAGCCTAACATGCAAGGCATTATGGGAATGAATTACAGCTCTCAGATGTCCCAGGGACCTATTGCTATGCAGGTACTTGCTTCTTTATTTGGTTTTTTACAAAGTTACTGTTTGTTGTTACGTTTAAATATCAAGAGCTACAGACTAAGAACGTAACGTTACAATTAGAAGTAAATATAAATAAATGTCTTCCTTCAAACTAAAATGAAGATGTGTTCGTAAGAGTGAGGGAAAAGGCTGGGCGCAGTGGCTCACGCCTGTAATCCCAGTACTTTGGGAAGCCAAGGCCGGCATATCACTTGAGGTCAGATGTTCGAGACCGGCCTGGCCAACATAACAAAACCCCATCTCTACTAACACTACAAAAATTAGCTGGGCGTGGTGGCATGTGCCTGTAGTCCCAGACACTCGGGAGGCTGAGGCAGGAGAATCCCTTGAACCTGAGAGGTGGAGGTTGCAGTGAGCTGACATCACTCCAGCCTGGGCAACAAAGTGAGACTCCTTCTCAAAAAAAAAAAAAAAAAGCCAGATTATAAAAGCATTTTTGCTTTTGTACTATTAACACATATCTTTAATGCCATATACTGTATTTCATTTTTACCTAACGCTTTATTTTTTACTTATTTTTGGGTTTTTTTCAACTTTTATTTTAGATTCACGGGGCACATGTGTTGGTTGGTTACAGTTCTATACTGTGTGATGCTGAGGGAACCCGTCACCTGGGCAGGGAGTATAGTACCAAACAGCTAGTTTTTCAACCCTTCCCCCGCTCTTTCTCCCCTCTTAAAGGCTCCAGTGTCTCTCAAGCCTATCTTTATGTCCATGTGCACCCAGTGCTTAGCTCCCACTTGTAAGTGAGAACATGCGGTATTTGGTTTTTTGTTTCTGCATTAGTTCACTTATTTACCTAACGCTTTAACATTTTCTATTGCTGTGTGGTTTTTTTAATACAGTATATACTTGTATACAGTAACACATGTATACAACTTATAAATAAGTAATATTAGGAGTTCACAATCAGAATTTTAATTTGAAACTATTGTTGTTTTGAAGTCAATTATGCAGATAAAGCTTCTGTTTTGTGTTTAAAGGGTCAGGAAAATTTCCAGTGTCATTTTTTTATCCATCTCTAGAAGGAAGAAAATGGGAATACATTGAGATTTCTTGAGCTTTTAATCCATGTTAAGCTAGCTTTCACTAGGCTCTGCTGCAGAAACAGTCCCCAGATCTCAGTGACTTACAAAACAAAAGTTTATTCCTCACTTGTGTTACATATTCAGAGTGCTGACTCTGTTCATGTTTTCTTTATCCTAGGACCTTCAGCCAGGACATCTTAGGTTCTTGGCATAGGAAAAAGAGATGACCAAACCCTGTGATGTCCTTTAAAGCTAACACTTGGAGGTAGCATTTATTAGTCACTTCTGCTCACAAAAGTAATATGGCCCTAACATCAGTAGAGGAGGAATATACCAGGAAGAATGTAAACCACACAGGGATGTGTAGTCCTCTTAGAATAAAGGCAGCAAATAACTAAAAACAATCTACCATAGAATGCAATGTATTTTAAATTAAGACTTTCTAAGCTTACTACTGAATTTTAATAATTGATAAAAATTTTAAATCATGAATTTTTACACTAAACATTATTTTATGACTTAGACAATTATCTGAAAAATGTTTTTAGAGTTTGAAACAACCAAAAACAAGTTAAGAGTCTCTTAACATGCAGAACAACAAGAAAAAAGTAAACTGTGAGAGTTGTTAGTGCCTTAATAATGTCCTGAATGTCAGAAGTTTGTATATTAATGATTCTAAGACAAAGCAACCGAATTCCCTTTCTTTAACCTTTAATCTTGCTGACAGGCATTATACTATTTCGAAGCTGCTCACCATTCTTTAAGAAGAAAAAAAATCTAGATCTTATTTTTCCCCCCTAACTCAATAGCTCTTATCAACCAGGGACATATATGAAGCAAACCCATTATTCCTATAGTTATCTCTTAAGTCTTTGGAGATAAAAGTGATGATTCAGATAAAAAAGTCAACATCAAAATTGAGTCCTTTTTTTTTATTTTTTGTTTTTGAGACTGAGTCTTGCTCTGTTGCACAGGCTGGAGTGCAGTGGCATGATCTCGGCTAACTGCAACCTCCACCTCCTGGGTTCAAGAAATTCTCCTGCCCCAGCTTCCTAAGCAGCTGGGATTACAGGCACGCACCACCACATCTGGCTAATATCTGTATTTTTAGTAGAGATGGGGTTTCACAGTGTTGACCAGGCTCGAACTCCTAACCTCAAGCGATCCACCTACTTTGGCCTCCCAGAGTGCTGAGATTACAGGCATGAGCCATCGTGCCAGCCAGAAATTTAGTCTTGATTATTATTATATTATTTTTGATGATGATTATTATAACCACTCCCTTCCCCAAAACACATGAAAAGAAAACACTCCTCATGATTTACAATACATTTAAAATTATTCTGAAGCATTTCAAACATCTAGGCAAGTATAGAGTACATGATGTACACGTGTAAACCTGTTGTAATCTGTTGTGTAATTGTAAGAAATAAAAGAAATCCTTTGTGCTCGCTTCGGCAGCACATATACTAAAATTGGAACGATATAGAGAAGATTAGCATGGCCCCTGCGCAAGGATGACACGCAAATTCGTGAAGCGTTCCATATTTTTAACAGAACCTTCATGAGCACAAACTCCCTGTTCATTTTTGCAGCTATAAATAAGGCACTGATACGGTTTGGTTGTGTCCCCACCCAAATGTCATCTTGAATTGTAGTTCCCATTACTGCCACATGTTATGGGAGTGACCTAGTGAGAAGTAATTGAATCATGGGAGTGGTTCCCCCATACTGCTCTCATGGTAGTGAATAAGTCTCACAAGATCTGATGGTTTTATAAGGGAAAACTCCTTTCGCTTGGTTCTCATTTTCTCTTGCCTGCTGCCATGTAAGACACAGCTTTCACCTTTCTCCATGATCGTGAGGACACCCGAGCCACATGGAGCTATGAGTCCATTAAACTTCTTTTTCTTTATTAAAAAAAAAAGAAAGAAAGAAATCCTTTGCCCAGTTGCTCTATTGGTAGAAACTTGTAGAACTGTAGTAACACAACCAGTATATGGACGTTGGTACAGCTGAGACAGAACATTTCCATCTCCCCAACGATCTCCTCACATTGCCCTTTTGTAGCCATACTCACTTGCTTCCTGCCCCACCTTATTTGCATTCACTAATGTATTCCCCATTTCTATGATTTTGTGGTTTCAAAAATGTTACATAAATGGAATCATTAACCTTCTGGGATTGGCGTTTGTCGCTTAGCATAATCCCTTCAGATTCATCCAAATCGTTGCATGTATCGTAGTTCATTTTAAATTGATGAGTATTAGTCCATGGTGTGGATGTATGACAGTTTGTTTAACCGTTTTCTCACTGAAGGACATCAGGGTTGTTTATAGTTTTTGGCTATTACAAATAAAGGTTTTTGTGTGAACATAAGTCCTCGTTTCTTGGGGTAAATGCCCAAGAGTGCAATTGCTGGGTTGCATGGTATTACATTTTTGGTTATTTAAGACGCCGCCAAACTTTTTTCCAGAGTAGCTCTGTTTTACGTTCCCACCAGCAATATATCAGAGGTTCGGTTATTGCATTCTTACCTGCATTTAGTGTCATTTTTTTCGTTCAGTCATTCTAAGTACGTTGTAGTATCACATGGTTTTAATTTGCAGGTGATGTTGAGCATCTTTTGATGTGTAATGTCTTTATAACTTAATTGAAGCAATTTTTAAATTGCATTTTTTGGTATTTTACTACTTTGAGAATTCTTTATATCTTTTAGGTACTAGTCTTTTGTCAGGTGTGCAGTTTACAGGTATTTTCTTGTCTGTAGCTTGTCTTTTCATCCTCTTAACAGGGTCTTTCACAGAGAAAAAGTTCAATTTTGATGAAATTCAGTTTACCAATTTTTCATTTTATGGATCATGCGTTGGCGTAAGTCTAAGAGTTACTCACCTTGCCCTAGAATCTGAAGATTTTTCCTATTTTTTTTTTAAAGTTTTATACTTTTAAGTACATTATTCATTTTTGAGTTAATTTTTGTGTAAGATTTAAGACCTAGATTGAGGTTGTCTTTTACCTCTTTTTATCTATGCAGGTCTGATTGCCCCAGCAACATTTGTCAAAAAGGCTATTCTGCTTCCATTGAAATGCTTTTACATTTTTGTCAAAAATCAGTAGGGCACGCCCGTGCGGATGTTGCTATAGGTTCTCTGTTCTGTTCCATTGATTTACGCATATGTCCGTTCCTTCACCAATAACACAGTCTTCATGATGGTAGCTATACAATAAGGTTGATTCCTCCTACATTCTTCTTTTCAAAATTGTTTTAACTACTCTGGTCCCTCTGCTTTTCCATATGAATTTTGGGATAGTGTTGTCTATCTCTGGAAAAACTCTTGCTGGAGTTTGATAGGCATTGTGTTAAACTTCTGTATGAATTTAGGGAGAATTGATGTCTTTGAGAGGTGACGTCTTCCAGCATATGAACATGGGATATCTCTTCATTTGTTTAGGTCTTTGGTTCCTTCTGTCTGCACTTACATAGTTGTCAGCATAAAATTCACATCCAGGGCCGGGCGCGGTGGCTCAAGCCTGTCATCCCAGCACTTTGGGAGGCCGAGGCGGGTGGATCACGAGGTCGAGACATCGAGACCAACCTGGTCAACATGGTGAAACCCCGTCTCTACTGAAAATACAAAACATTAGCTGGGCATAGTGGCGTGTGCCTGTAATCCCAGCTACTCAGGAGGCTGAGGCAGGAGAATTGCCTGAACCCAGGAGGCGGAGGTTGCGGTGAGCCGAGATCGCGCCATTGCACTCCAGCCTGAGTAACAAGAGCGAAACTCCGTCTCAAAAAAGAAAAAATTCACATCCATGTTTGGTTAAATTTACATCTAAATATTTTGATTTTTTTGAGCAATTATGAATGGCATTGTTTTTTAATATCAGTGTTCCATTATTCACTGTTAGTATATAGAAATACTATGTATATGTATA